GCAATATTTTGAAATAAATATTAGTAGTTTTCTCCCCCCAGTTCTCATTTTACAGTCGAGGCATAGTGCAGATAGATAAACTAACCCCAAACCACACAGCTTTAAGTGGAGAGGAGTTGGAATTTTGAAATTGGCTGCACAGAAGAATGTCTGATAAAACTTCTTAAAAAGTGTTATCTGGTTTTAATTATAAAGCAGATAGACGTACAGGAGTCTTATTGATTCCTGTGGTCAGCTGTATTTCACATTCACTGTGACGATAGTTATCCAGCATTCACAGTTTCCACCAGAATGGTTTTCTTTAGTGTTGGATAAACCTTCCTTGAATGTCTGATTGAACTTTGCATGTGCTCTCGTGTTGGTTTCTGTGATGTATAAAAGTAGACTCCATCTTACAGGTGGGAAAGAGGCCATGGCATCACTTGCTCCAGTTTGTGTTTTGGGTTGGGAAGTTGCAGTCTATGATTCCTTTTTCAGGTGTGATCCTGAGGGACTCACATGGTGTTGCACAAGTACGCTTTGTGACAGGGAATAAAATCTTGAGAATCCTTAAGTCCAAAGGACTTGCTCCTGATCTTCCTGAGGATCTCTACCACTTAATTAAAAAAGCAGTTGCTGTTCGAAAGCATCTTGAGAGGAACAGAAAGGTAAGAATAAATAAAGGCCTGGTGTTAAGTAGAACCATTTGTACTAACTTATTTCAATATAATATAACACATCTGATTTGAATTATCTCAGGTGGCTTAGAGCACAAACTAGTCAGCACTACAGTTGCTTTGAAACAAAAATTCTACCAGAAGAGATTTTCTTTGGCTTTGGCTCCCCTAAATACAGAATATCCAGTTGGTTGAAAACGTTGGGGTGTTTTTTGGTTTGTATTTGCAGAGTTTTGCAAGTCCTTCCTGTTGTCTTATCCTGGAAACCTATTCTATTAAGGACATAATCTAGCTATGTGAATCCTAGCCTAAGATTCTATTACAGAGTATTGGGTAACTTTTCATTAGAAAAAGTGCATGGTAGCTCTACATTTTTTGTTAAATTAATGTTTAATAATGTT